AAGACAACAATACCGACACCTGCAGTCTGAAATTTGCAGAAACCAAGAAAGGCATTGAAATACTCAATTCCACATCTTACTCTAAGGGAAAAGTTGTGATGCATTAATATTATAGAGGCATTTCAAAAGCATATCTAAAATTTCTATTATAATGTAAATAATTCCAACATAATTTCAATTGTTTTTAAATTAGTTTGTAATTTTAACTGCATAACAAGCATGATATCCTGCAGTGAGATGACACCAAATTGTCCTTCTGGAGAACGTTTATCTATGGTTCACTGAAACTCCAAACATCTACAGCACACCAAAATATGGAGTGATTTCCATAAACATTATAACTTATCAGAGATCTTACTATGTGGATCATGATTTAAGTGAAAAATTTTGTCATATTGAACAGGAATTAAGTCCTTGTCTGTTGCCTTCTATGTCAACTGTGTTATTATTTTATTATACTGCAACAAATGTTTTTGATTGTGGTACATAATTTGCAATAAACATACCTGTCCTTGTTGATCAAAGAATTTCTCAACAATGGCTTTTATCTGGTCAAAAAGAATCGGATAGAGAGCAGGGGACATCTCATGGCCCACTAATTCCTTTACATGTTTCTGGATCTGAGCACCAAATTTTTCATTGTTGCATACAAGTAATCGTAGTAAATGCCCCACAAACCTACACAAGAGAGTAATAATTCACATTCACCTTCAATACACTAAATACAGAAGCCACACATGCTAACCAACTCAGCAGTGTTAGAATCTCAATTCAAGAACAAACTTTCAAATTCAGTCCCCCGTTTTAATAAATATTCACAGTATCTTGAAATCGTATGCATATCAGTTTAACCCGTCGACGTGGTTTTACGTGTACACAAGCGGGCATTTAAATTAAAGTTCTTGTGGTTTTACGTACAAACACACGAGCCTCAAAGCCTAATTTAAAACACCCATAAGTATGGAATAAATAACGCCAGCGCGATGAGGTTTGTTCTCGCCTGTTGTGGAAATAAAGCTCTATGTGTATACATGTGGCAACAGTGGTACATTCCAATGACCTGCAAGGGACAGTCTAAAAATAAACGCCTGACCTGGTAGTTTACAAGGGCTCTCCCTTCAACAAGTCGTCCTGTGACGGAGCTTGAAGAAATACAAGTTTTAAATGAAGTTTTAGAAGATGATAGTATAAGTGAATATAGTTCGGACGATGATAGTGTATTTGACATTGATTATACACAGTTTGTGACACCGGGAACTGTCGTGTTTAGCGATAGTGATTGTGATAATGGTAG